TGGAACTGGCCGGGCAGGCCCAGTTGCCCTCGCCTACTCTCCCGGCTGCACAGACTCCAGCCGCCACGCATGGCACACCCACAACGCCTGCAGACGTACCTGCGGCACCGGCAGGACAGCATTGCCCAAAAGCACAGCAACCAGAAGCTACTCCTTGTACGCATAGCCCAGCACAAATGCAAGAAGACGGCCCTTCGCACAGCTCCGAATCCAGCTCATCAGAAGCAGAAGATGCCGGGCCTAAGACATCCAAGCATAGATTCCTGCTGCACAGCATAGCGGAGGACCCGTTCAGCTGTGACCGGTTCTGCTACCAGGCCATGGCACAGCACAACACTATAGAAGATGAACTTTACTCTGCCTGGCATAGCCTAGTCTGGTCGGGAGCGGTCGGAGCAACACTGCTCCTGTTCCCTGCACATTCGCTTGATTTGGCATCGCACACCAGATTATGCGCGCTTCTTCGGGCAGCGCACCTCCAAGGCAGTCAGGTCTTTTTCGAGTACCCCAGGCACTGCGATGACGAGATTGCAGATCTGTACACACAGCTGTGCCAAGAGTTAGCAGTGCACTGCATACAAATGAAGCTGCCCCAGAGCGACGCCTCGCACATCATTTGCTCCACGCATGCAGCACTGGCAAGCGCAACACAGCAAGCTGATCCATACCAGCACATGCTCGCTCTTGCAGGCAGGAGTGCACATCGCACCTCAATGCCCCTATCGAGCCAGCAATGCTGCAAAAGCATTTGCCGCGCTGCTTTCTGCCACGCAGGCCCGCGGTCTGCGATGGAGCAGGCATGTTCAGCACTGCAGATCACTCTGCCAATAATGTAAGCAGTAAGCCCAAGCCCCTAGCAAAGCTAGCCTCTGCCTTTAAGCAATACCTCACTAAACACGGCCTCGTTTCGCATATTTCTAAGCACCTACAGTCAGGGCAAGACTCGCACCCGCTTAGTGAAGACCATCGCAACGCCTTGGCAGACATTGTGCATCAGACCATGGCACCCAACATCGACAAAAACCAGTTCCTCCGAATCTCGGACGGGCAGCCCTTCCGTCTCACAGCACTGCAATACCTGGCACAAGCCATTCATGATAAAGATGCACAGCTACCCATCATCCTCGATGAGGGAGTACCTACAGGTGCTTTCGGAGCACTGCCCAGCAGCGGGCAGTGGCCCACAACGCAAAGCTCTTTAGACTTTGCAGACGACTTCAGCCCTGCATCCCTCGAGCACTGCAGGGGGAATTGGTTCCTAGCGGAAAGCAACCCCGCACTGCTGCAAGAGCTAGTGGAGGATGAAGTGCGCAAAGGCTTTGTCGCAAAGTTCGAAGGCACAGAAGAAGACGCAAAGCGCCACTGGCCGCAGGGCACTGCAATCGGCAAATTAAACATTGTTATGGCCGAAGGACGCGACCCACGCCTGGTCCTTGACAGCACTGTGTGCGGACTTAATCCGGCCGTGCATCTCCCAGAACGGGTGTCACTGCCCAACGCCTCGGACGTGCAGCGCACATTTTTGTCAGATGACTGCTACGCACAGCTTCACGCACTGTCACTAGACTTTAAGGCAGCGCACAAATGCTGCAAAGTCAGCCCCGCAGACCAAGGCACCCTGCTGTTCCGAGTTGGCAGCTCCCTGTACTACTACAAGGTTTGCCACTTCGGGGCGCGCTTCTCGGCATATTGGTGGCAACGCACAGGTAGCCTTCTACTGCGCTGCATACATGCGCTGCTCTGTAACTACCCGCATCGAGCCTGGCTTTACGTCGACGACCTCCTGGCCCTGCTCCGCACAGCTGACAAAGACATGGCCACCGCACTGATAGTTGCACTGCTTTCAGCCCTGAACGCACCCATCAGCTGGAAGAAGGCTCAGTTCGCCCAGGAAGTCACCTGGTGCGGGTGGACCATTCGCACGGACGCAGAGACCATTGAGCTCCGCGAACTCAAATTGCACAAGCTCCGCGAGCAACTCATTGCACTGCAACGCAAAAGCAAAGTGCAACGCAAGGAGCTGGAGGGCGTACTAGGCCTACTTAATTGGGCCACCTCCCTAAGTAAACACATGCGCCCTTTCATGGCACCGCTCTACAAAGACCTACACAGCTGCAGAGGCACACTGCACAGCATTTCACCGAGCATGTGGGGCACCTTCCTAGATTGCCTGGACAACAACGCAAAGCTCACCCGCACGCCAGCAGGCTCTTGGCTGCCACGCAATGCCCAACTACTTGAGGTTGGCAGCCTCAAAATAGCAAGCAAAGCAGATGTGCCCCTTGTGCCGCCCTCGCACAAACACCAATGGCTAAGGCTAGCTGACCCGCACCGCTCTGAAGTTTACCTTCGCTACGAAAGCAAATTCGTTCTGGCATGGCTGCAGCATTGCTTTGCGCATGAGCAGCCTCGCTCGCTGCGCACAGCGCCACGAATGCACTGCTACAGTGCGGCGGATGCATTCGCAGATACGCACCGCATGGGCATTGGAGGATGGATCAGCACTGCCGACGCCTTCCTGTGGTTCAGCGCCATCTTCTCTGCAGAGGAAGTGCGCAAGCAATGGCCGCAACTGCAAGGCAGCCTGCAGCCTTACATTGGCTGCTTTGAATCGCTCGCACAACTTGCACTGGCACAGTGCTCCTGGCAACTGCTACGCAGTAAACAGATCCGCTTTGTTCTGCCCACGGCATCTGACAATACCAGCGCAGAGTCTGGCCTTAATAAGCTCTTCAGCACGGCAGAGCCCCTAGGGACTTTCCTTCGCCTGGCGGCCACCTGGGCGCATCTGCACCGCGTGCAGTTTGAGGTGGAGCACCTCGCTGGCGAGAAGAACGTTTGGGCAGACAAGCTCAGCAGGGGCTCAACTGCCTTTCTTCAGCATCGCACTGCTGACAAAGTTGAAGTCACGCTAGCGCAACTAGCATCCGCATCGCATTGCGTCACATTACATGATCACGCACTCGCTTGGCCGCAACGGCTACTAGACGCTCAGCACGCAATGCTTAAATGATGTAAAAAAAGAGTGGAGTGACGCCTCTCTCTTACTCTTTCCGTGAGAACAGCTTTGCTTTTCACGCTCTTCATTTCTCACGCCCTGCCTCGCCAGGTACATCGGCATCGCTTGCCGCTTTCCCTTGCGAGCAATGCCTCGCTCTGCACTGCACATTCGAGCAACCTCTGCGGAAAAATAGAGCGTATGCAGTTCGCACTGCACTTAGCGTTGAGAACAGTTAGGAGAACTGACAGGTTCCAAAAGGAGGGCGCTTCTCCAAGAACGTGCGGTTTTTTTTTGTGCTGGGAAGTCTTGAATGTGCCAGATTCCACTGATTACCTGCTTTTGAATTGGACTCTTGGAACGTGGGTAAAACTGATCTTTGACCTGCAAGAAGTCTCTGCTTTTGGAAGAGTCGTGCTCCAAAGAAGAACATGTTTGCGTTTTGCATTGTTTGAAAAGTTTTTGGAAGGTAACAAGCTTTTTCCAAAACCAGAGCACCTTTTTACATCGTGAAATTCTGGAATGCTTGCTAACATTTTATTTCTTGTTGTTTGAAAGAATCTGTCAATCTTCAATCTGTTTTGGGGGATGATAGCAGCTTAAAACACAAGCTGACGCCGCATCTCGGCTTGTCTGTGGGATCGAATGAAGAAAGAAGAAAGACGAGAATTTAATTTTAAAGGTTATTTTTTTGATTTGCTCGCACGGAAAACGTGGCACAGCTGACCGATTGGAGACACTCCGACCTGAAAGGTTCAAGCTCCAAAGCTTCAAGTCTGTAAGATCCAACCAAGCATTGGTCTTGAGGTTGCATTGACATTGAAGGTTGCATCTCGGTTTTGTCCAGATGGAGCCCAGTTCAAGTTCAATGTTGATGTTTTCCCACTTCAAAAGGATCTTGGAGTGACTTTGAGTTGACGTTTCAATCATTCGGTTTTCACATCTGTGATGCGAATTCGTGATTCGTGGCTTGTCGTTTTGTTTTCTTCAACAGTTGTAAATGTTGGCTCATGTCGGAGATTTATATGAGTGTTTTAGTTGTTTTCTCGTTTTGTGATCTTTTTAGCTTTTTTTCGTTTGTCGAAGACCAAAGTCTCTAGATTCGAACCTAGATTCGAAACTGGCTTGGATCTAGCTTGAAGCACGTTTTTGTTTGGTTGTTTTTGTGTGAGGCTTTATGCAACACATGAAATTTCCTATCTTTTCAAAACGAAAGGTTTGCAAACAAAACCATTTAAGGTCCTGCCTAATGTTTACACAGGGAAGACGGAGCTCGCGTGTTTAATTGGACGAACTAAATTTAAAGCAAGATTATCTTTCGCATGTTGGGAAAGGCCAAGTAGCTTCGTTTTGTTAGCAGATAGATCTTATGATAAGTTGTCTTATCACGAAACGAATTTGTGTTCCTTGGAACAAACTTGAAGCACGTTTCGCATGTCTGTTTATTCAGGCGTGGCGAATGTCAACATGTTTTAAGGTAAAAGCTTGAAGCAGCACGGTTGTGACAAGGTTTGATGCTTGTCGGTGGTTTAACTGCTGCATGGTTTACCCCAGATCGTTTGATCGATCATCGATGCTTCGGTGACAAATTGTACATCTCAGCAACTTTAGCTATTGAGCGCCCGTCACAGCTTGTTGTCATTTCGACCGTATGATCCTTGCGCAGGCTCAAGTAAAGCATATGGCTGGCTTTTTGGAAGGTAAGAATCACACGAAGCGCGGTTGGTTGAAAAGAGCCGGTGCATATCAAGCATTGCATCGACCACTGCAACATCTTAACAATGGATGTTCAGCTTCGACATCGTTTGAGCTGCAGATTTGACAATGGCATGCGATCGTCGTGTCAAGTACGAGGAAGAGGGGAAATAGGTGCGAGAAGAGGCCGCCTGATCGGATGAGTCGACGTAAAAGGTTTTAGCAGAAGATGGAAAAGCTTGAAGCTGTGCAAACATAGGGTTAAGACGTCCCATGCCTTGTTGCCGTTGGGCGCTTGGGGCTGAAGATGGCTCCTTTGCAGGTCCCGCATTGAAGGAAGTTGTACTGGTTATCAGGACGGTGTCATGTTCGTTGCAATATTTTGATGACAAGGCAGACAAGGAGAACGAGCCGCAGCAGCCTTGAATCGCTAATATTTTTCAATTGTGAGTCGCAGTCATCTTGCTAATGAGGCCACTGGTCGCCTTGGATCCGCAAGATAGCTTGCAGGCTGGGTGGTTGCAAAGCAAGAAGGGTCAACAAATTGTGCATCAAATAAAGGCTCGCACATTCGCGTGCATGCAGGCCGAAAAATCAGTACTTGCGTCGCGAGCTCGGGTGTGTCGACGCGGATAAAGACGTTGGCATGCAGTAGCTGACACTCTGATGCTTCACATGACCATATATGTCGATGAGGTGCCGAGACTTTCCACTCCCATGCTAATTTGATTGTTGGTGTTTCAGTTGTTGCCATCAGCATTGACGGTGAATAGAAGCTGTCGGTTAGAGATGTGTAAAAGGCGACATCGGCAGTCAGGTTGAGAAACTTTGAGTGCAAACCGGATGTGACGCAGATTGTCCGTGATCGTTTTGTGAAATCCGGAACGCGATGTCCTCAGGGCTTCATGCTTCGAATGGCATGGGTGTGTGTACGGTGCCCTGCTTGCAGGAGCTCTTGCGCAACGTAGTCTGACCTTTTTCACACATCGTTGCAACACGCACACACATAAGAAACAAGCAGAGTCGAACGAAGTCCAAAAGACTTTGAGCAATGTCGCCAACAGCCCCTTGTGCAACACACGTTGACATAATTTACGTGACGTTTTGTTGGTTCTGTAATTCGGCAGGTTTCACGGCTCACCTACAACGCGTTTTAAGACGAGGATTATTTCAGTCCGTTTTGTGAGGATTTGCTGCAGAAGTACGCCGGGAACAATTTGGAAGGGCAAAAGGGTTTCCAATTGCTGGTCGAGACGGTACATTTGCACCACGAGCATGGCCGTCGGCTTGATCTCATGCAATCAGGTGTGGCTATGGCCAGCACGTGGGCGCGATGCTGTGCCGGGCGTTTAACTTTCTGATGTTCGGTTTCCTGTCACGCGCAGTTGTGTGTTCGCCCCCGCTCTCCGGTTTCCATGGCCCGATACCCGGGCCTCACAAGGTGTCGGGATTCGATGTCCGGAAACCGTCACCCTTGCAAACGGTTTCATTTCTGATCTAAAACCAGCATTGCGTTTGCAATGAAAGTGTAGGCACGTAGGCGGGCGGTCCTTTGCCACAACGACAAGGGCTGGTTGCGTTGGGTTCCCCTAAAAAAACACAACCCCTGCCTTGGCCAACAGTTGCCCAACAGATTCAGTGCAAACGCAAGCAGTAGAACCGGTTTCGCTTGAGTCCCGTGTACTTATCGCATATTTTGCTTCCGCACTCGAAAAGGAATTACGCGGCAGACTACAATGCAGCCGTTGCCCACAGCCTCGCAACTCTGTTCGAACACAGTGGTCCCCAGCTTGCACAGGGAGTCGGCCTTGGGATCGGGCCGATCCAACAAGCATCTCAAAGAACCTGACGCAAAGCCGGGCGGGCTACTAGGAGCAGAGGCGACTAAAAACTCAGCAGAAACTCAGACAAGGAACTAGCAAGAGTGGCGTCGGTAATGAAGCCGCGCCACCGCGTGACGTAAGCAACACGTCAAGCGAATGTAGACCCCAGCGGCCGCCCGCTTTGATGCCGAAGCCAAACGCGGTCCGCACCTTCACGTGTCCGTTAGCAGCACCGCATAGCACCGCAGCGTGGGTGTCAGCGATGGTTTGCAGCACCAGGTCTTTCGCACCTTTGCTGTCGTCGATGCTCCTCCACGGCACCGCGATCATGGATGGCTCCTTCCCGACCTTGGCATACCTCAGTTGCGTGCTCGTTGTGTTCAATGTACCGTCGCAACAGCGAAGCACGGGAAGAAAAACACGTAAAAACAGCGAGGGCAAGGGCACAACAAAACGAGGCCAGGATCCAGTTCGGAAGCTATGCTGAACTCGATTAGGATATGGTGTGCACAAAAATCGGAAGCCAAAGTTCCACAGCAGTGGCACCAATCTACGCTGTAGCTGCGCCACGAAGCATGCAGCGTAATGCCGAACCACCTGTGACGACCAACCTTGGATTACGACACAACCGATGGGACACCAAAAAGCACGAGGGTTGCTCCAGCGCCTCGTGTACGTCCCCACTTGTACAGTGCGCGGCCTGTCCTCCTCCACTGCGCCACCGGATTTTGGCCCCGACACCAACGCATTCCAGCCGCTTTGCGTCACTGCTGGCGAAGCCATTGGAGGATCCTAGAGGATGCCAACCCGCCATCGGACGGCCGAATCGACACACAATCTCGGCTCTAAGGCCTAGCTTGCCCGTACCGGAAGGCAGCAAACACAGGTGTTGCAAGCAGATGCAAGCAGGGTAACAAAAGACAGCCATTGCCTCACATTGGTGGTTGGCCATGTAACAAACCAATCTACGAGTGGTACAATAACCGCAGCAGCAAGCAGAAACTAAAGACTGGCGGCTTTAGTGGTGCCATCGTCGATAGCATCGCCGGCCTCTTCCGCGCAACGCTTGTCCCTCCTGCCCTGACCCTACTGGAGTCTCAGTCTGGGCCGCTTGCTTCGAGGGTTCTCGTTGCCTTGGCTTCCAGCCACCAGCTGACTTTGGACTCGCCTGTTTCCATCTGTTTCCGGTGCATTGCTGCTCGGCCGGCTCCGCTTAGCTTTGCCGCTCGACGCTACAGCCTGTCGCTGCCATCGTCCCGTTGACTCCCTCCGCCGCACGAGAGCTGCTGCCCGTGTTTGCCGCGAAGCCGGGGCTACCATTGCCTGCAATGTTCTCGTGGGCGACCACAACATCCACTCCGAGCGCTTCGATGACCCCGAGCTGCTGCGCTCGCAGAGGTGCCGGCTTGTGGTTTTGCACGTGAGGTCGGAGGCCGCTGGAATCCCGAGGCTGCTTTGCTCGCTGGGCCCGTGTCATGCCTGGCCCCTTGCGCCCACCAACCATAGCAGCCTTCACCTCCCGATGGTCTGCCTTGCTCGCCGGTTCGGCCTCCTGAAACTCCGGTGCCAGTTTGCTAGGTCTTTCCCGTGCCGGCACGGCCAATATTGACGGCGAGCAGCGGCTCTCGTTGCGACGAGACCCCCCCCTCGTCAGCCGTCTGCCCGGCAACCTTGAACGAACATTCCCGTGCCTACAGGCCTGGATTTGCCGCCGTAGCGTGTCGCCTTGGGCTTGGGCTTGCTGCACTGGGACCGTGTCGTGGATTGTCCAACATGGTGTGTGGAAGAAAAAACCTTCATTTTCAAAAGCTAGCACACTCGAAACATCTTGATCCCAGTTTCAACACGCAATTACAAAAAAATATTACAAGGTTCATGTCGTGCACCCCGCACGCCACTTTCGCGACTCGCGCGACCGCGTTTTCGAGCGGCAGGGCTTGGGGATCGCCGGGCGGGTCGAACAGCCCATGGCAGCAGTAGTGACCGTGCCCAAGCGACAAGGGCAGGCGCAGACATCGCAGAAGCAGCCCGCTGCGCTAAGGCTGGTGGTGATGTCGTACCGTGTCGGCAATACGGTGATTGCACAGGCGGCGAAAGGTCAGGCCTGCGACAGCCGCCGCGCACAAGATGCAGGGGCACATGCACGCATCCTTAGGTCGGGCGGCAACCGCCGTGGCCGCGGCCCGGTGATGATGACGGGCAGTGCGTTGCACCGTGAAGCCCAGCGCGCCGCTTGGCGGTTGGCGGCGGCGGCAGACTTAGCAGCTCTCCGCGACCCCGTTCGCCTGCGCCGATTGCTCGCTCCTCCCGCTCTGCGAATGCCGCGGCCAGAGCTTGGGCACGGCGCTGGTGGATCTTTTTGTTTTGGTTGCCGTTCAGTGCGTGACAGCCCTGTCAGCGGCCGGTCAGGTATGGCTGGCAGCGTCCCGAGCCTCGGCGAACGCCCCAGCGCTAAAAACTCGTGCTGGACCTCGCTGACGCAGCGAGGCCGAGCACCCTGCCACGGTGAACGGTCCGCGGGCAAGCCGGTGGTGGTTATACTTGCCCCCAGGCCATTGAGCTCGCACTGAGGTGACGACAGCGTTTGCCTTTGCCTTTGCCTCTGTGCCCAAAGCGGTGGGGACCGGGACGGCCAGAGGATAGTCGCATTGTTCCTTGGCAGTCCCGAAACGTCGCTCTCAGCCGGAGAAAAAGAAAAGCTTGTGAACGGCTGGTCCAGCCTGGGTCCGCCAGCTCAGCATCCTGCAGTCCCCTGAGCCCGTAAACCCCGAATCCGTGTGTGTTGCTTTCTTTCTTCCGCCTATAGGCGCGGAGCCATTCTTCGCGCTTGCCTCGGCAATGCCTTGGCACAGCTGGCTACATGGATGTCGCACCCCTAACGCCAAATTTGGTAGAACAGCTATCCGGGGCCGTCGTGGCCAGGCTGGCAACCTGCTCCAACCTCCAACACACTCAGGGCTTCGCCGGCTGACCGGCAAAGTGGGGTAGGGCGCAGTCCCGGCAACCGGCAAAGGCCGAAGAGCTCCTAGTCTGGTAGCGCCATTGCCCCTCCCCTCCTTTTCGGCGTGCGCTCAGTCGCTGCCCTTCGCTCCTTGCCTCTTGTTTGCTCAGTGTGCTTTTGCTCGGCCCCGGGTGGCCCTTGCATCCCGGTCCGTGCAGCTTTGCGCGCCGGCGCTGCTGTGCGGGTACACGGGTCCGGAACCTTTGACCTGCAGGCTTGCACTAGGCCGCTGCCTCCCCCGTGAAGGTATGCGGCGCGCTGCCATAGAATAGGACACATGCGGACCGGGCCATGCGCGCATCGCTGTCCGGATCCATCTTATCCCTCGGGTTTTTTATTTTAAATTTGTGTGCCCCTTCTTCTGGTGTATTTCCTCCCCGAAGCCTTTCCAAACTTTTGCACCATATCGACGCCGCCGGATTGCGTGCCCGGTTTGCTTGACGGAGCCGCCCCTGAGCCCACAACCTGAAGATGCAATTTTTAACCGTGATGCAATGCTTACACCCACCCTTCCTGTCTGCTAAGTTGCGCTCGCTTGCACGGCAGGTGCCCCAACTGCCGTGCTGAGATCCACCACTTGTTGCGCGAGCCAACACTCTGCATGCGATGTCAAAACGAGCTTCGTGCCGATAGCGTGCGGCCGCCGGAGTCAGCCCCGCATTGCCTCCATTGTCCACACTCCTCTTCTGGGAATTTGACATGGCATCGCAAATTGAGCGCTGGGTGTGTTAGCACTGTCCCTTCGCGCACCCTGCCCGACCTTTGGCGCTGGTTGTTGCCA